TAAATTTTTCTTAAGATGGCTGCTGTTCTTTAATAACAAATTTACTATCTGGAACAGGGTTGATAAAAATTAATTTCAGGGTATTTAAATTGATCTATTATTCAATTATATATAATATTTTATTAAAATATACGAAAATAAACTCATATTTAAAGGCATATACTATACAGATACTTTTATGATATACATTAATTGAATAATTGGTAATCTATCGTTTTGGGTACGTAAAATCGCCCGCGACTTATATGTGAAAAACAGATGACTCCTTAAATTTTAATAATTATTTCACATGTTGATGAGGATTTATGTTTTAAAAAATTCAAAAATGTTTCCTTGTTTCATTTATGTATCTGTTTTTAAACAATTGAATTAAAACTTTTCAGTAATAAATGAAGACTAGCGATGTTTCCAACAGATGCAACCATGCTCATTTACTATAGCAGTCATCTTGTTTAAGTTTTATTTTTATTAACTTATAGCGTGAGATTCAGGGGGAAGCCACTCTATTTTACAAATGGCTGCTGTTTTTATAGCAAATCTTGGTCACAGACACTGCTCTTTAAAGTTAATTTCTGGCCTATATTGATATATTCAGCCATTGATTTAGATATATTAATCCTTTATCTATAATATTTGACACAAACATATCACAATATACTTCTATTAAAGCCTTGACAATGAGGTAACGTTTTCGTACATTAAAAATATTAGTAAAAATAGCCGCGGGCGATTTTACATAGCCAAAACGATAGATTTCCGAATAATTAATTATTAATTAATAATTAATTCACTTACTCCCACATTACTAGATTTGGCCGAATTTACGACGCTAAACTAAGGTTTTACCAATTTTAGTACCTCGAAACAGTAACGACAGATTCTAATAAGCAAAAAATCGAGTGAAATATTTATAATATATTATAGATCTAGATATCCAAGTACAATAACATTTAATAGGAAGTACCTTTAATAGGGAGTAGTTAATTATTCTAATAGTAAAGGGAGTGTTTATTGTTTATATTTATTATTATATCGTCCATTACCAAGTGTTATATGAGGCAAGACTTGCAGTACGACATTTTCCACGTTTTTAATATTCTGACGGAATAACCCTACCCACTTAAGAAGCTAATAATAAATACATAAAAACGTTTATAATTACAAGCTTTTATAAATACACTAAAAAGAAGAAAATAATACAATACAAGTCTTTTTTTTATATTTAAAGTAACCGCGGATTTATATTTAATAAAAATTGTATTATGTTCTTCTTTTTAGTGCAATTATAAACGTTTTTGTGTATTTATTATTTTTATACTTTTTAGTATTAACAAGTTATACGCATGTTAAGACAATATAAAGTAGCAACAAATATATGATACACAATTTGAAAAACAGTTTAGCTTTAATAATATGATTAGTTTTACTATACGTGTCACATTTACTGATGTTTTAATTACAATCCCAAAATTGCCACAATTAGGTGAACACATAATATTATAACTGTTCAGTCTGTGGTCAAGTTTATAGCTAAAGTTTCAGTAAAGTATTATGGGATGGCGTAGTCTAGTGGTAAAGAACTAGACTGCTGACCCGACTAAAAACTATTGCGTGCCTATTGAACGTGATGACGCGCTTTTGTCGTAGAGCCTCTCCTCGCTCCACGCCCAAGACGGCTGTGATGACGCGAGTGAATAGAACTGCCTACTAATTCGGTCCAAATTTTAACTAATTCATAAAAAATTAATTAGGCGACCAATTAAGTCAAATTTAATGTCACGATGCATTGTCTTCATGTCTTGACCCACGTACCAACAACGAACCGTATCTGTCAGTTAGAAGTGCCTGCAATTCAGCACGACCGTTTCGATCTAGACAGAGTGTGGAAGTGAGTTAAATAAAAGCTTGTAAAAACTAAAAACATTAAGTCACTCAGGTGAAATTAATACATACAGTCAGATAAAGGAATGGATTTTGAAAAAAATATCATTCACCAGTTAGCTATAATCGACAAAAACGATGTTACGATGATTGTTGCTGTATCTGCCCCTGTATCTGCTTTGATTTTTGTTGATTGTAGAGAGAATGAAGATGTATCGTAGGGTTTTCTTGCGTAGTCGAATGGGCGAAATTATGTTGAAAAATGTTTAGTTTTCGTGATATTGCTGTAAGTGTAAGTGCATTAGTCTGTTTTGTAGAAATTTGTTTTATCTTTGCTATAATTCCTCTCAGCCTTTAAACGGTCAAACCAATATAAAAACTGAAAGCTTTGTATAAGTAATGGTGTCTCGTGTTATGTTTATTTTTATGTTTTTTTTTATTTATATTATTCATTTTAAATACATTTCCTTTTTATACAATTTTATACTTTAGTAAGTACTTTATGAAAAAATAATTAAGAAAAGTAATTGGTTTTTAATTTGTTTAGTACAAATCTATTAAAAGGAGCTTATGAGCACCCCTATTTGACTATTTAAAAAGGGAAATAAGTCATGGAAGTGGTTTGAACGTTTGCTTATCTTTGATAAGTTTTATTGCAGGAGAAAGAGGACTCGGCTTTCACAGTGGTTTAAAAACAAAGGGGAAAGAATATACTAGAGCGTGGGGTGGTGGCTATAAAATAAAGGTAATCCAACCGCAGCTACGGTAATTTTTTTAACAAAACAACCATCAAGTCAAAATGCATCAAAATTATTTTCTTAACTGTAAAAAAAAATTAATATGGTCGGCTGTGGGTCCCTAAATGGCGTGCCCCCACCCCCCTGCGGGGTCTGGCGACACTGTAGTTCCGGCACTGACTGCAACTCATGTTGCCTATGTATATTTTTCCTTTACGAAACAGCGTGTGTTAGCTACTGTAAAACATCATTACTGTAGTAGATCTGTTTTTTTTACAAGAAAATTATTTTTTTTAACTATAAAAAAATTGATTGTGGTCGGCTGTGGGCCCCTAAACGGCCCGCCCCCCCCCCCCCCCCCGCATTGTGGGGTTTGGCGGCACTGTAGTTCCGCCCCTGCCCGTAAGTAATATTTGCTGACTAGTGTCTGACAATGATTAGCGGAAGTGGTGAATGTTTGATTTGGTAGTCTCGTTCATAAACGGCTCATTCATCTATTTGCCACTTGTGAGGCTAAGGGTAGGGTGGGGAACTAATAGGAAGGGGACAACAAACCATAATATGTATGTATTAATAATGCCGACTTTTAGGGTGGCGGCGAACTCGGTTGTAAACGCGAATACAAGAACATTAAATCGAAATGAAAGGTACCATATTATTTGTATTTATGAAATACAGGATAATAGTCTATTAAAATTGCAAACATTATGTTTTACAAAAGAAAAGGTAATACATTTGACGATTGATTTTTGCGACTTTTGGGCCCCCAGTTGGTTCGAGCTCCCTACATTGCGAGATACGGCCTCATAATTGTTCCACTCCTTACGTCTATGGCTGACATAGGCCCAACTCAATTAAAATAAATTCTGTTGTAGAAGTGTAGTAGCGACCCTATGAACTTCCATTCGCTTACAGGAATACGCAAAGACAGTTTATTTTTAAAAGAAAACATTTTTTCTATGTTGTAAATGCAAGAAAAATATATACATTTATAATTGAATAATTGTTTGTTTGTTTTTAAAACTTTTTAAATGGTTGGTTCCTTTGAAGGCCTACAGCTTTTTTGAATACCATCATAGAAAGCAATTATGTATGTTGTTTTTTTTTGTATTTAAACAACATTAATCGCTGAATGTTGAGTATTAATCACCTAGGTCTTGCAAAGGTTATTGTATGTGAGAATCATTGTATCTAGATCATAATATCGTTATTGAATATAAGAAAGTAGATTATCTTGATCTTACTATTGTTATTATCTGTGAGAAAGTAGATTATCTTGGTATTGCTATCGTTATTGTATGTGAGAAAGTAGATCATCTAGGTATTGCTATAGTCATTGTATGTTAGAAAGTATTTCTCTCGTTGTTGTAAACGATTATCTTTATTTCAATTTGTTGCTCTATACGAGAAAGTCGATTAGGTTGGTCTTGAAATAACTTTCGTATGCACACTGAAATTTTAATTTGCAATATGATCAGGAATCTTTTCTTTAACACTGTTGCTGACTCTTTTTGTATTGAAGAGATGTAAATTCTTAAAACTTGTGAAGTAAGCTCATTTTTTCTTTGGTGAACAAAGAGCTGTACATATGCCAGTTAATATTAGTGTCCTTGGTGTATGATTGATTACATTCATAAAATAAATGAGTGTATACAGCTGGCATTAGTCTTAAACAAGTTAATTAAAAAAGTCTAGTGACATTTGTGCGCAATTTCCTTATGTTATCTAAAAATAGCTCTGACGTATAATGTTGGGGTGCGTTCAAGCTAGAAGAACAATCGGTTTGTAGGTGTTTATGTAATTTTAAAATTTGTGACCGAACGAAAGGATATTTTTGAAAACTTTCTTCGGCAATATTGTTCTAAATTATGACAGGAATCGATTGGTACATGTTTCAAGTCGCTAAGTGGTCTGGTTGCCGAGATATGGGCCAAAAACTGATTTTTTTCGAGATTTTTTGGCTTTTCTGGGAAATCCATGAAAGAAACCCGGAATTTTTATGGCCTATGTTCATCCTTGTAACTTGCTTAACATAATTGCTTTTGGAACTAGTCATCGATATTGCTTCGTTGAGGAGGAGATACGACTTAAAGCTGCGGACACACATTCATCCATCCATCCATCCATCCATCCAGAAATGACGGGTTAATAAACGCAATTCTCCAGAATGGAAATTGCGCTAAAAAGCAAAAACGCATGTGATATTCAACATTGCTTTCCTAGCATTTTTAACTTTATATCATTTTCCGATAAAATTTTCTATTTTGTATGATTAATTTTTGTAATTTAAATGGTAAGAATTGTTTTGTACGTTTATATGCATGTTACAATTTTCATTCACGTTTCTGGCACTGTAACACAACTGTAATAAACAAGTAAAAGTTTGAACTTTAAAACATTTTATTCAATTCTAGGCACTAAGAACATGAGGTCAATAGAGATATGAGGTAACACACGCAGAGAGATTCGTACCCTTCAATCTCAAAACTATGACACAACCACTCCAAAAAAGTGACATTTTTTGTAATGCACAATAATTGCACCAAAAAAAAAACAACAGTGTTTATGTATCTTAACTGGGGATCATTGACAAATTTTCATTGAGTTTGCTTTAAAATGAATATTGAATTTTTGCTATTTGAAAACAAAATTGAGCAATAGAGAAAATAGTTACATTGTATATGATCCATAGGAAAACAGACATGACAAACACAATTAAAACAATAATACTTTTTATAGTGCCATCGGTATTAGGTCCAAATCTGTGGAGGAAAATAAGATAACATTATTGCTTGTTGTTACGTTAATGTTTTTCTAATTTTAGCCTTTATATGTAACGTAAAAGTAAAGTTCCCTTTTCAAACCTGACGGTCTATAGGGCAAGTGAAGTAGAGTTTATTTATTTCTGTGACCTCGGCATATGAAGGGATAGTGTGGTCAGCACTTACGGTTAGCAGTCCAGCTCCCTACCGTTAGACCACTCCGTCCCACATTATATGCATGTATATAAAAATGAGGCTTAACACTTACACGAGTGACCTATTCATCTTCAACGGTGACTTGGATCCTCTTGCCTTCACCACAGAGAGACTTGTCTGCAGGCACGAAGAAATGGTCGCCAGGCTGCAGAGTGTGGATCTTGTCTAAAGCGTAGCTTTGGTAGGAGAATGGTGGCACGGTGCACCTGTAGTAGCTGGTGTAGCTGCCGAGGTCTTCCATGGGCGTCACGTAGTCAGCAGAGATGGGGACAAACTTAACACGGGTGCCCTTCTTCAATACAATCTGCAGGCCAAAGGTTTATTGCATTTTATTCGACGTGAAACAATTTATGGAGACACATAAAATAAACTTGCTTCTAGAATAGCAACATGATTTTGTGAAAAGTAAAATAAGATTTTAAACGCTGAATACACTTTAATGTGACTTGAAAGGTGCTGTATGTTTAGAGCACATCTATATTATTTAATTATACTTGAATCTTTTGTAACATCTCAATACAACTGTATCACAAGAAATGACGATTAAATGAAACGGGTGTAAGCTTTTAAAAACACACCTTTGGTGGTAGGCTGTGGTCTTTACCAACTGGGATCTCTACAACATCGTAGTCAGTGTTGGCCAATCTTTCAACAATAAACACGTAGTCGGTAGTTTCACCAAGTGATGCACCAGAGTATTCAGTAGATACCACTTTAGCCTTTAGAACAAAGAACACGACTTATTACTGAGTCTGTTTATATGCATGCAAAGCGCTGTTTAAAATACCCCATTAATATTTTAATGTGAATATTGCCAACCTTTATCAAAGTCGAGGAGTACAACAACACACTACCTTAACGGCATGGTCTGGGTCGATTCCTGATTTCTTGAAGGCATCGGTAACATCCAATTTCATGAGTCTCTCGTAGGCCCATGGCATTTCTTTCTCACCTCCAAGCACGTGCAGTTGACCGGCAAAAGTAGCTTCATCAGACGCGCCCACCAGGGAAATCTTTAGATAAAAGGTCCATTTAAATTGTATACTTCAAACGGACATGTTTGTAACAGTGTTAACTAAGTCAATTGATTAAAAGTTTTAAAATATGGTATTTAGTCTTACGTCCAAAGTCAGACTTTTCTGTTGACCATAGATGACAACACCAATAAAGTATCTGTTTTGGTGGTGCAGATCATTGATGATATTGTTAATTTCTTCAACACTGTGGCCGTTCAGTTCAAGGTTGTCATACTGTCAAATAAAACAAAAGTTAAAATAAACATAATGATTTCAAAGTTAATTTAATCCTAACAATCTATTTTTAATACATGTATTAAAGGCTTCTTTAAGGCTTAAAATATCAAATCAATCAAATGGGTGAAATGCAAAGACAATGAACAGAACGTTTGGCATACACGTCCGTGACTATTCAGGTACGAAATCAAAGATATCAGGCGTACCTGGTATCCGAATCTCTCTGAATCAAAAACAAGATTAGGTACAGAGTTGAGGCGAGTAAACTCGTTGTGGTTGACCTCTGGGTAGCTGAAAGGCTGTAGAGGTCTCTCCATGATGTGTCCAGCACAGCGGGCAGAGTTAAATGGTTTGCGACGGAGTTTTTGGAGTTCCTGAGTTCAACAAGACAAAACACTATGTAATTGTTGGCTCGGGCCAATATGTTTCTTTATTATAGTAGAAAATAATAAATACAACCAAAGGTAATATACAGAAAAGTCGTATTACCTGCCAGATAACCCAGATTCTGTCAATGCTAGAGTGGTGGATCATGAAGAATGGATCAAAGGCTGAGTAGTCCAATGTGGCCATTGAGTACTGACCACTACCACCAATGGTAGCGTGGATCTCGTTGTGAAGAACTTCAAATTGGACTTCAAAGTCGCAGTAGTTGTCTTCCTCGAGGGTGTTTAGTGCCAGGTAGAATAGGTAATGGTAGCCATTGACTTTACGGTTAGAGTAGAGGTCTTGCTGGACGTCACGGGTAGTCTTCTAAATTTTAGAAGTTCACAAGTTATTAGAAGTATATCAATATTAGAGGATTAAGGAAATAACTGATACGTATTATGTATTTACTATTTTTAGAATACACTTTAGCAAGCATTTTGACTTACGTGATTAGCAGAGGCGATTTGGAAGGAATAGAATGGGTTAAAGTCAGAGCTGTCTCCAAAGAGAGATGGAAGAGATTGTACTGGAGCAGTCCAGTCCCAGTATGGAACACCAACAAGGGCGCCATTTTTCTTCAGACTCTGTTCCACTTGAACAGTGAACAACCTGTGCCAGTGTGGGAAGACAGGCATACCTAGGGAAGAAGAACATGAGAATATACCAGTTTCTTGTTGTGATTGGTTCCGTGTAATCAATTAAAGATTGGTGTATTTCAGCTGACATACCGTGCACGCAGCAAGCGAATTTGTCGTCACCATCGGCTGGACATTTGAATGGAGCACCATGGAATCCGGCAGTGGCTTCGTAGCCTTCATCGCTCTGGTCTTGTTGGAATTTGTTCAAGGCGTTTCTCAGGTTAGCGGCTTCATCAAGTGTTAGTTGGTTAATGTTCTTTCTGACCAGCTTGTCGTCGCGCTTGGCGGTTTTCTCGGCAATCTTTTCGTAGAATTCTGGAATTTAAAAATTACGTTGGTAAATGCACTCAATCTTTGTCATTCTTAACTTTATGTACACCTAGCAAACGTTTATTTTATAAATTAAACTTACTCTTTGTGCCGGGAACAAACTGCACACTTGGGGACCTAATTAGATTGGAGTCTAAGATGGTGCCGTTAATTGCTTTAATCTCAACCTCAAAGTGGTAGTTTGAATCTGGTCTGAGGTTCAGTTTGTTGAACACATTGGTGACGTCATATTTAAAAAGTCTGTCAAAAGCCCATGGCATTTCAAGTGGCCCACCCAGAACAGCAAAAGTACCTAGTTAGAAGTGAAACAAAACGTACAATTAACGGAACTATCAATTTGTAGCAATGGGAATCTTGTGCTTCATTTCGATTCTAAGCAATAAAAAAGAGAGAATGAGTTCTAAACTGCCAATATTTACCAGCGAATTCACTGTGACCCTTATCGTCGACCAGTCTGAATGTGACATCAGCACTCAAGGCAAATCCACGTAGAAGGAACTCAGCAAAGATGCGATCTTCTTCCTTGCGTCTCTCGAGAACGTCGTTAAGCTCGGAGATGGTCAGTCCATGGAAGTTCAGGTTGTCGTATTGGTAGTTCAGTCTATTTAAGTAAAATACTCACTCAGATAACGATATTCAAATTTAATTATGTTTCACAAAGAATAATTGAATTATACTTTTTAAGCAAGATTTAAAAGAAAGCTTAAATTAAGAAGTAATCTTATCACATTATCTCTTAATCAATAACGGTGCTCGATATACGTGTTAATTATACTTGAATATCACATACAGCACTTAACTATCCTAATTGAAAGCATTGGTACCAATATGCAAACAAATTTTCTTTTATTATTTTCATTATTCTTTGTAAGAATAGTATTCCTACGTTATTATTTGTCTAAATTTTATCTAATTCTATATAAAAAAACTTACCTATCGTAATCAAACGCATCAATACCGCGAGAGTTGGCACGGGTAGTTGGGTTAATATTTGATTCCTCACTGAATGGTTTCATTGGCTGACGCAAGTGTTGGATGGCACAGTTGGCGCTGTTGTAAGGAAGTCCTCTGAACTTCTGGAGAGCTTGCCAGATAGCGAATTGCCTGTCAACGTTTGAGTGATGGAGCAGGAAGAGAGGATCATAGGCAGTGTACTCAAGTGTAGACATGCCGTAAGGGGAGACACCTCCAGTCCAGGAGTGAATGGCGTTATGGTTGATCTCAAATTGGACCTTTAAACAACGTTATAGTGTATATTAGGTTACAGTTTGTGTAGAAAAATCAATTACCCAAGCTAATCTATATCGATGTTCAAATACCTCAAAATCGCAATAATCAGTTTGCTCAAAGGCTAGAAGTGTTTGTCTATAGAAGAAAGATTCAGATCCAAATTCAGGGTCATTGAAAAGTTGTTCTCTGGGTGCTCTTGTTGTAATTTCTCCATTGTAGATTTTACCATGATGGAAAGGATTATTTTCTTCTTCTGTCACAAGGGTTGGAAGAGCAGTAAAGGCAGTGGTCCAGTCCCAGTATGGAATACCAATCATGGCTCCCTAAAATATTTTTATATGCAAATTACATGTACATTAATATGAACAATTATTGATTGTTATCTGTTTTTAAATAAACAAAATATATTTGGTAATCTCACCTGAGCAGTTAGAGCATCTTCCCATTGCTTAACGTAGAGTCTGTGCCATTGAGGGAAGTTGGCCATACCATGGAGACAGCAAGCAATAGAATGTCCATTATGTTCGCACCTGGCTGGGCTTCCGTGGAAGCTGGCAATATTCTAAGAAAAGATTTCAAAAGTAATGTAATGGGATTAAATATTTTTTTACGCTGCAAATATTCCTGTCTACTCCAATATAAATTTAGTAAAACCTGAAGAACTGTGAACGTCACACATCTATAAAACATAATTTAATTGTTTTTAAGATTAGAACTAGAATGTTGTTATCAGTTTAATTACACCTAACCGTTTATAATTATCGTAATAAAATTTACCTGGAACCCGTTGGGACCATTGTCAGCTTGAACCTTTCTCAAAGCGTTTCTCAGGTTTTCTGTTTCAGACACTGAAAGGGTTGAGACGTCTTTACGAACACCAACTCCAGCAATTGATGTGGATACAACATCTTCAGCGGCACCTTAAAAAGCATATTGATTGATTATATAACTTTGAAGAAAATGCGATACATTGAAAAGAAATAAATATTGTTTGTCATCTTACCATGTGCAGGATCGAAGATGAGGCTTGGGGTTGGGAACACGCTCTTAACGTTAATTGATTCTCCATCGACATTGTAGACTTTAACATCCAGAGTGAAAGCATTCTCAGCATCAAAAACAGATTCAGGTGAAATGCCAGCCTCTTCAAGAGCCCATGTAATATCTTTCTTGTACAGACGATCGAATGCCCATTCCATCTCAGTTGGTCCACCAAGGAGGTTAAAGCGTCCAGCATATGAGCACTGTTTTCTAGACTGTAAAAAATATGTGTTTGTCACCATCTATTGTGTTATTAACGAGCATATTGATTTTGATCATTTATTATGCTTATCTCCCAATTGTTATTAATTCACTAACATATACAATCTTATTTTTAAAGCAAAACATGTTAGTTACATTGCAGATCTGTAGGACCACTGATCCTGAAGTCTTCACTCCCTTCAGAAGGAAACCTGCAAATACTCTTGGACGGCTTTGACGTTGAGCAATAAGGGCCTCAAGTTGTTCAATGTTGTAGCCACCAATTTCAAGATTGTCGTATTGATAGCCAAGATGTTCGTGGTTAAAGACGGTGTTGGGGACAGCGTGTTTCCTGAGTGAAAAAAAAAGTTAAAAGTTTCAATGTTAATATTGTATTCTGCATTTTTTAGAAAAATAGATTTCTTATGCATTATATTAGTCTTACTTTGTGAATGAGTTTATATTGAAGCCCTCGATGTTAAATGGTTTCATTGGCTCGTTCATGTAGTTCAGTGCACAATCAGCACGGTTGCTGGGCAGATGTCTTCTCTGCTGTAGTTCTTGCCATACGACCCAGATTTTATCAACAAAGGCGTGATGGATGAAGAAGATAGGATCGTAGGCTGAATACTCAAGTGATGACAGAGAATATGTCTGATGACCTCCGACTAGGTAGTGGATGGCGTTGTGCATTACTTCAAATTGGACCTACATTTGTACATCGAAAAGAATTTAAAATAACGCAGTGATTGTAAACATTTAAACTGCTATTATTATCTCTGTATATTTCATTTAAATTTATTTAGGTGTTTTTATTTTTTACCTCAAAGTCACAGAAGTTGGTCTGCTCTAGTGCTGAGAGAACAAGATCAAAGAGATCAGAATGAGATCCATCCTTGGATGTCTTGAACAGTTCTTGTCTGACGTCACGAACGGTGTAAACTTCCTCAGATGGTACATAGCCGCGAGCAAATGGGTTAGGGACGACCTATAAAGGGAAAATATGTCACTTTCATTTCTTTCCCTATCACCTAACATAGAATTTTATCTTTTCAAATCAATACGTAATAAATAGACAACATACATTTTAGAAAGATTAAATCACAGTCTTACCTCATCTCTCCAAATATCGTAGTAATCTTCATCAGTGAAAATTTCTGGTAAAGCCTTGATTGGTTTAGTCCAGTCCCAATATGGAATAGCAATGGCACTTCCGTGTCTCTGTAGAGCTTGCTCAACCTATATGGTGGTCATGAAGGTTTGACGTTATTTTATACAGGAAAGAAATAAGGTATTTGGTAATTCTAAGTCCAGGAATAAGATTTGTGTACAATTTTTGATTAATGTTTGAATGACCTGCAATGTGAAAAGTCTGTGCCAGTGGGGGAAGGTTGGCATGCCGTGAATACAGCAAGCAACGTCTTTGCCGGCATCATCTTTACAGCGAGCTGGGGCACCGTGCATTGAGGCAAGACTGGCCCAGCCATCGTTGGTTGTGTCCAGCTGTAAGTCACGAAGGGCAGCCTTCAAGCTTTGGACATCACGCTCGGTTAAACTGTTCAGGTCACGGCGGACGAAGTTGTGTGTCACTTTTTCCAAGTCAAGATCATCTGTAGAAATAATGTTTTAAACGGTAAAATAAAGCCTTACATAAGGTCTAAACATCTGGAGAAAAATATTATTCGTAAAACATGTCCCTATATACGGTCTAGAAGGTGTAAAGAATAGTAAAGCCGAGATTTTAGTAACCGTGCTATAGGAGTACATACGGTTAGCGGGATCGAAGATGACACTTGGTGTTGCCAATAGACTACTGCTTAGTTCTGTGCCATTTGGAGACTTGATGTGGACCTCAAAACTGTATTCATCATCAAAGCGAATTGAGTGTTCTTGTAGCTGTTTCAAAAAGCGATCATTAATTATTCTGTCAATAAGGCCATTTGACAATTAATTCAATTATATATTACAGAACAATGTTATACATTTTTTAAATGCATCTCAGTAAACAGACCTGGTCAGTGATTTCATATTTGAAGAGTCTGTCAAACTGCCAAGGCATCTCTGCTGATCCACCAAGAACTGTAAAGTAGCCTCCTTCGAAACAGTTTCCATCCTTAGGGCAAATGTTGAATTCGACAAATGCAGATGAACCAAATCCTTTCAATAAGAATCCTGCAAAGAAAAATATGTTTCAGCATTAATCTTCGTTGATGTGTTTTCAATTTGCTAATAAACTGAACTAAAATGAAAACTTGAAAATAGAAATATTATTAAAATAAATAAAGTTTGTCCAACACACCAGCAAAAACTCTATCGTGTTCGTGTCTTTCCTTGATGTAGGCATCCAGCTGTGGAATGTTGAGACCAACAAACTCCAAGTTGTCGTATTTGTAGTGGAAATGATCTTCGTATTGGAATGTATCTTCAGGGCGTGAATATTCCTTTGTCTTGGGGTTCAGATTGTATGGTGCTCCAAAGCTAAAGGGCTTCAGTGGCTCCTGGTAAGAAAAGAAGTTATTATAGATAAACACACATACAGGCTTATATGTATTTATACAATGACTACCCTAATTGCTAAAAGTAATTTTAATTACTACGGATTTCTTACATGCATACAGAGTTAGTATTTTAAAATTTCGAAATAAATAATTACTTTCATCTGCTCAAGGGCACAGTTGGCTTCATTAGGATCGTGACCTCTGTATTTTTGTAGAGCTTGCCAAACAGCCCATAGTCTGTCAGTGTTTGAGTGATGTACAAAGAAAGCAGGGTCGTATGAAGCATAGTGAAGATGGCCAAGAGAATGTTCTTTGGATCCTCCGAGCCAAGAGTGGATGGCGTTGTGGGTAATCTCAAACTGAATCTCAAAGTTGCAGTAATCTTCTTGTTCAAGGGCAAAGAGGGCTTGGTTAAAGAGCCATGTGTCCCATCCGTGAGGTCCACGTTTGAAGAGTTTGTCACTCTGTAAAAATTGAATTAATTTGAATACATCGCGTGAATATTTTAAATAGGACCGAAGACTAACGAATCAAGTACTATTGTTTATAATTTTTGGAGATCAATAAAGATATTCTTACAACAACGTCTCTTTCAGTTTCAGAGTTCTCAAAAGCAATCTTGGCTTTCTTCCATGGGTTGGCGACAGTTTCACCGGAATTGGGATCTATGTAGCTTTCGTCATCAATAAGATGTGGCAGGGATGAGGATAGACGAGACCAGTCCCAGTATGGAATACCAACAAGAGAACCATGACGACGTAGAGCGTCCTCAACTTGGAAAGTGTAGAGACGATGCCATTGTGGGAATGTGGCCATACCATGAAGACAGCAAGCGTATCTGAAAATAATGTATTCTCCATTAAGTTATTTTTTTAACAGACATTTTGTTTGTGAGTACTTGTCATGGTGTAGATTTTTTTTTCTTATAGGTTTACATATTTTTATTCACCCTTACTCTATCATTTAAACTGACTTTTACTTTGAGTGCATGTGCCATGATGTAGATTTCTTTTAATTTCATAATAGTTTATATATTTTGTACTCCTCCCGAGAATTATCATTAGTCACTAAACAACGAAAAACGAGTTAAATAACTGAATTTATCACAAAGACTATAAATGAAATATTGAAATACTATCTTAAATACTAATGTCCTATAAGGCTAAAGCTGAATTACAGAAAGACTATCTGACCTCTTGCTTGCACTTGGATGTGGACAAAGAGGTGGGATAGCGTGGAATGCTGCAATTGATTGCCAGCCGTCAGCAGAGCTATCAGCCTGAAGAGACTCCATAGCCTTGTACAGAGAAAATGTTTCACGAGGGCTGAGGGAGTTGATTTCCTTTCTTACTAAATAGCTGGAGACCTCACCAGATGGTTTCTGAACTTCGGCTGTTGAAAGAAATGTTGAATTCACGAATTGAAGATTAAATAATTTAAAACAAAACTCTTAAAGTGAGACGAAATTCACTTACTTGTTCCAGGAACAAATTGAATGGTGGGTGTAGGTAGAATGTCGGCACTTAACAGACTGCCATTAACTGCCTTAATGTCAATCTTGAGTTCAAAGTTTGCAGCACTGTCCAACTTAAGACCTAAATCTCTGATTGTATGAGTTATGTCATGTTTGTACAGGCGGTCAAAGACAAAAGGCATCTCTAATTCACCACCAAGGATGTAGAATGATCCGGCCTGTTAGAAATGTTTTATAAAAATTCATTAATTAAATAATGTGCCCATTATAGTTGTAAGAATTTAGATTTTAATTACGTGACAAGTGAAATCACAAGCTTTATCGGCATTGTCTCAAAAAACATAACTTTAAAAACTTGTCAAATAAAAAGCAAATGTTTACCTTGTGGTCGCAGCTCTTCTTTCCTCTGGGTCCAGCAGGAACACAAACATAGATATCAACTTCAGCAGACAGACCGATGTTATGAAGCAAGAAGCCAGCAAATACGCGGCCATTTTGTTTACGTTTCTTCAACAAAGCCTCCAGTTGTGGAATGGTCATGTGGTTGAACTCCAAGTTGTCGTACTCGTAGTGGAAGTGGTTGCGGTAGTCAAATGTATCGGCAGGGCGACTGTTGATAGTAAAATGAAATTTCAATTATGACGGTTAGAGCTACTTTAAAGCTCCCAGACTTTAGTTTATTTTCAAATAGTGTGCAGATAATAATTTAAAACTTTAAGGTATATGTATGTATAAATATACACTTAAAAAAGTAAACCTGTATCTATGAGTGTAGTCTCCGTGGTTTAGTCCACCATCATTGAAGGGTTGCAGTGGTTTCCTCATGAGGTTGATGGCACAGTCAGCCTCGTTGTACAACAAACCTCTGTAGCGTTGGAGCTCTTGCCAGATGGCCCAGATTCTACAGGGAAAATATTTTTAAACGATTTTACAACTAGTGAGCTTACTGCAATTGAATGTTTGGTTATATGCGCTAAACAATCAAAACAACGTACCTGTCAGTGTTGGCGTGGTGCAGGAAGAAGACCGGGTCAAAAGCTGAGTAGTCCAGTGAAGAGAGTGAGTACTGTGCACGGCCACCGAGTAGAGAGTGGAGAGCGTTGTGGACAAGTTCAAATTGGATTTCAAAGTCACAGAAATTGTCTTGCTCTAAGGCAAATAGAACTTCTTCATAAAGTTCACTGTTGTCAAACAGCTCTGGTTGTGGATCTCTGCAGATAATATTCAAATTATTACGTGAAGCATTGAAATCGTGATTGAGAATAGCTCGAGGGAGAAACAAAATGGGATATCTCACCTAGTGGTCACTGCGTCTTCTCCTTTGATTTTTCCGCTGAAGAATGGATTGGGATCAAATCTTTGCTGACGAGAATTGTAGTAAGTCGCCTTGCTTATAAGTGAAGGTAGTTTTTGGAATGGTGAAGTCCAGTCCCAGTATGGAACAGCAACAGATGACCCACGGCTTAACAAAGCTTCCTCGACCTACAAACACATGACATCAATTATGTAAGATTTATAAGCAATTATACTAGTCTTGTTAAGGTTTACATATATATTAAAGCTAAATTATAAATTAAGATACAATGCTTAATTGCTTGTTCTTCGACATCCTCAGTTTACCTGTTCAACATACAATCTGTGCCAGGCTGGGAAGGTTGGCATACCATGGACGCAGCATGCAATTTTATGGCCATCATGTTCACACAGTCCAGGTTTGCCATGGAAAGCTGCAATGTCTCCATAAGTTCCATCTTGTTGGATGGACAGGAAAGCTGACCTCAGACTCTCAACTTCTCCCTCACTGAGGTCGTTAAGATTACGACGGATATTGGAGATAGTTGTAACAGATGGACGGTATTCTTTGCCGTAGAGGTTGCCTGTAGAAGGATAATACACATTAGAACTTAGATGAATCAAAACAAATTACTAGAATCTAAACTTTCGAATTAGAACTGTGTACTCACTAGTTCCAAGTTCAAACAGGACAGTTGGTGGTGGGATATTTGCTGCTTCTGTAATGTCGCTGCCATCTAGGGCCTGAACTTTAACAGTAATGTCATAACGATCGTTGTAGTGAATGTTTTGCTCCTCAAGTTGATGTGTGATCTCATACTTGTAGAGACGATCGTAATTCCATTCCATTTCATTTATATCTCCGAGAATGTAGAACTCACCAGCTTCCTTGCAATCGTCTGCAGCTCTGAAATGTAAATTGTTTTTGCATGGTGATAAAACAGATTAGACTTCACAATGCTTTACACCCTGTAGGTCAACATAGCTTCGTGCAAAAGGAAACGTTTTTTCTTACTTGCAGATGGAGAATGTAACCAGAGCTGATTGTTTAAGTCCATGAAGCATAAAGCCGGCGAAGACGCGATCTTTGCCTTTGATCTCTTCAAGTTGTTTGGCAAGTTGGGGAATGCTCAGACCGTTAAATTCAAGATTGTCGTACTCGTAATGGAAGTTGTTACGATAGTCGAATACCTAGGATTGACAGGTTTTGATCTTTCATTTTGTATTTTTTAATATTATTGCACGACTTTATATTTTGAGTTAAAAAATATCATCACGAAAACTATTTCTATAAAATACATTAACCTCCTCTTTTAACTTGAAACGAGTGTAGTCAAATTTACCTGGAAAGGAACGGCATGTTCACGGGTGTCGGCATCAGGGTTGATGTCAGAGGTCAAACTAAATGGAGACAAGGGTTTTCTCAGCTGTCCAATAGCACAGTTAGCGGTGTTGTATGGTTTGCCGCGGTATTTTTGGAGTGCCTGTTTTCAATTCAACAACATATTAGCAGATTGATCGATCAATGAATGCCACGCTTTTCGAATATTATGTAAGTAAAGTTAAATAAAGCCAAGCTCCTCGAGAATAATTCCATTACTGGTCTTAAAACAAAATGAGTTTTTTACCTGCCAGATAGCCCAGATTCTGTCAGTGTTGGAATGATGCAGATAAAAGAGTGGATCAAATGCGGTGTACATCAGGGAAGCCAGAGAGTAAGGTTCTTGACCTCCAACAAGAGCGTGAATAAAGTTGTGGGCGATCTCAAACTGAACTTCAAAAGTACAGAAATCTTCTTGCTCTAGAGCTAGGAGAACCTGAAAGCCAACAAACAACCATCATGTTTATGCTTACTATATATTTATTTAAAAAATGGCAACTTGTTATTTTTATCAACACCTGTGTAATGGTTAAATGAATGAAATGTTCCTACACTCTCACCTGTTTAGCAATATCAGTGTATTCGCCAAAAGCGGGTTGCTGGAAAAGGTCTTTTCTTACTGCTCTGGTTGTATCATGGTTTGCATCGTCAATATGAGCACTGTAAAGATTCGTTATCTCAAATTACTCAAATTGAAATGAAAATTAACACTTGCTGTATTTAAAACACATTTTTCCCTTTAATTGTATGTTAAAAACTTTCTTACTTAAAAAAATAATTAGTTCTACGTTTCTAATTAGTGTTAATCTGGCTTTTGTAACAATTTAAATATGTCGTATCATTGTTAGAAGGATTTCTATTAAAACAAATCAAAATGTGTACCTGAAGAAAGGGTTCTTGACGTTTGCTCCATCGTTATCAGCATATTCAGCACTGCTAACGAGATCGGGAAGCTCTGAGATGGGCTGTGTCCAGTCCCAATAAGGAATAGCACCATGGTAACCATGACGACGAAGTGCATTTTCTGCTTGCACAGTCCAGAGCCTGTAGGTATTATAATAAATTGTATATTTATACAAAAATCATTAGGTTCCTAAATATTCAAACATTTTAACAAATAGCACTTAACGTCATTTAATCACCGTAAGCCTATACAAGACCAATAAGCAAAAGTAACAAACCTATGCCAGTGTGGGAAGGTTGGCATTCCGTGAAGACAACATGATTTCTTAACCTCAGCGTCTGGAGATGGGCACCATTTGGGTGTTCCGTGGAATCTTCCAAGATCCTGTTTTAAATTGTGAAAAATATTCTTTCTTAATTTACAACTTAAGTCGAGCATTTTCTGATACATCCTATCTAAAGTACACAGCTTTATCAGCTGTATCAGCTAAGATGGAAATCCTCATTTACTATCTGGTAAACTCCTGTAATAGTCTATAGCTGAAAAGTTTAAGGTCAAAACTTGTTGTATATTACCCACTGCACTAACATTTGTTTGGGGTTAACAGGCCTCACCAATTACCTGGTAACCCCCCCCCCCCCCGTGGACTAACGTATGTTTGAGCTCACAATATCCCATTTATTACCTGGTAACCGCCTGCACTGTTGTCTCCCTGTAGGTTGGCCATGGCATGACGTAGTTCAGAGACTTCAGAGGCTGTCAATGTGTCCACGTTTTTACGAATCCTGAGAGTATCGGGGGTTTCTTCTTTAGCCTCTGTGAATAACAAAATGTAAAATAGTTTAAATATCATATATTATTAGGTATGTCAATTTGTTATCGTATTTGTTGGCAACAATGCTTATGTTTCTATGTATATTTTCTGTTTGTAACGATTCTATTTACTTACGTTCTTTGGCTTTGTAGATGAGTTGGATGCGTGGGAACTCAACTCCTTCTAGGGCAGAGCCATCAAAAGTTTCGAATTCAACAGTTACATCAAAAGGCTGAGCCCAATGCAGGTTGAGATCTTCAAGAGCATCAGTAATTTCATGTCTGCAAATATCATACAAAGTAGTTCATACAATTACCATTGTTAACACGTTTTACTTACCACATGTCATTCACACAACTAAACCAGTATTTAAGTTACCTGTAAAGACGGTCGAATCTCCATGGCATCTCTGAAGGTCCACCCAATACAGCAAAACGACCGGCTAAGTATTTGTCTTTGCCTGGTGCAGTCACGTAGATGCGGGCCATTGCTGCGAGGAGAAAGATTTCAAAGTTGTATACATTTACCGTGCAATCATTAATGTATTTATCTCTAATGTACAGAATTTTTGTTCTAGTCGAAGTTACCTGATTTTTTAAATCCATGAAGAAGAATGCCAGCGAAAGTTCTTGATTTAGCTTTCTGGTTATTGATTATGTAATCATTAAGCTGACGAATGCTCATGCCACCAAACTCAAGTTGGTCGTATGCGTATTTAAGCTCAGTCTCGTAGTCGTACACATTGCGAGGGACAGCGTGGCTAGATGTTTTCTCGTTGTTGTTGTATGGAGAGGCGAAGGCGAATGGTTTCAATGGCTCGTATGTGTAGGACTGAGCACAGTGAGCTTTGTAAGGTTTGCCTCTGGGATAAAAATAGTTTTAAAATTGTCAGGATGCAACAATTAATTTCGACTAATAAGACTGTTGAGGCTGTATTATATCGATTGTCTATTGACTTTTTTCTATATTTTCGCTTATTATTAGAATAAAACACATTACTTTCCAAAACCAAAACGATTGTTTCTGCTTACCTCAGCTCCTGAAGAGCTGTCCAGATGGCCCAGATTCTGTCCACATTGCTGTGATGCAGGTAGAAAATTGGATCAAATGCGCTGTATGAAAGTGTGGCCAAGCTGTGGGGGTTTTTGCCACCAACAAGGGCGTGGATCAAGTTGTGGGCAACTTCAAACTGAATCTGTTCAACGTAATTCATGGAGTATTGTAGAACAGTTGGTATATGTAACAAAACAAATTTGCTATAAGAATACTGCACTGCTCTCTTTATAAAAACAAATGTATTACTTACCTCAAAGTCACAGAAGTTGTCCTGCTCTAGAGCCAAAAGGAAGGCGTCAAAGAGCTCAGTGTGGTCTCCTAGTTTGGGTTGCTGACTGAGTGAGTTGTCCACGTCACGGCCAGTCTTGGCATCAGCTCCGAGGAAAGCAATGGGGGCGTGATGGAAGGGGTTGTGATGGGACACGCCCCTGTAGGAGTTACATGAGGTTTTGTTAATGCATTAAAACATAATCTCTCGTAATTAGACAAATAGGTACTAAATACATTATTATAATGCTTTAGTACACATATGTTTAATTTTAAATATCTTACTTAGGATCAAGGTAATCATGATCAGCAGCCAATGCTGGAATTGAAGTTCCGGGTTTTGTCCAGTCCCAGTATGGAATACCAATGTGAGAACCTCTACGGCGAAGAGCGTCTTCAACCTAATACAAAGAACAATTACTGATTTTGTCTCTACACTGCCATTAGATTCCTTGTGTTCAACTACACTCGCTCTCTAATTGAGTTCAAATCATCACTAATTGAAATGTAAAGTGCGTGGATAAATACAAACCTGAACGACTAGAAGTCTGTGCCAGTGTGGGAATGTTGGCATACCATGAATACAGCAGGCCTGTCTGACTTTAGAGGTTGGTGTGGGGCATTTGCCTGGGTCACCATGGAACTCGGCGATAGCTTGATAGCCGTCAACACTGGAGTCGTTCTAAAACACAACGAGTTACAAGCTATCAAATGTTCTTCATTCATTTATATAAACTTAAATATTTCGGCTTAGTCTAATTAACCTACTGTAAATTATTGCATTATCGCAGGGAGTTATAAAATAAACGTTGTTTTAGTTTGATCTTATTTGATGTGGTTTATAATAAACAGTTTTACAAATATCGAATGTTAAAATCTGTTTTCTCATACTAGTTTACCGAATAACATAGAGAAAATGTATTTCAACTATTTATATTGCCATCTATTTATATACACAATTTAATCAACACAAAAGCTATAAATTCTAATGTTTTTTCCTTGTTAGATAATAATAGTTTTGTTTTGAACAATAAGTTTTCAAACGCGCCTTGTGCAATGTCTGACTAGTTACCTGGAATCTAGCAAGTGCTTGTCTGAGTTCATAAACTTCTTCCCTTGTCAGACGGTCGACGTCTTTACGTACTGCAACATCGTCGTGGTACTCGTGTTCGTGGTTCACCTCGTTGTGGGCGATGGCAGCTTTTGAAGGAGATTGGAATAGTGTTTACATACATGGTTTAACACTCACTAATCAACTGTTCTAATACGTTAATTGTTTTATGCCTCGGTTGTATTTAATAATACAATGTCTTTCTCTTACACTAGCACATATTTGTGCCACTGTTCCTGTCTTAATTAAATTAGTATTGGTAGAATTTTACGCAGAGTGCTATGCAACTTACGATCAGTGCGTCCCTTAGCTGGTCTGTAAGACACATAGGGGTGAGGGAGGAGACTGGAAGACAATTGGGTTCCGTTAACGCTAAAGAGCTGGGCCTTGATGCGGTAGTTGCTGTCAAGTGGGACACCGAGTTTCTCCACGGTCTTGGTCACATCAAAGTAGTAAGGTCTAGAGAAAGCCCAGGGCATCTCAGTTGGTCCTCCTAGTACGAAGAAGTCACCGGCAAACTCGCAGTGGGGCTCAGAGACGGCGTCTTTAGCGGGGACACAAACCTGGCGGAGAAACACAACCCATCTAGTCTCATGTCTTTGTTACTAAGTAAGGTCTATACATTTAGTGACCTTATGTTGGCAAATACGCAAGAGACGCGAATGAAATGTGGACAGAACTTTTGAGGATAGAGTTAAATGAAAGACTATTTTAATTAATAAAATATACGAGCTAATGAAATGTGCTTTTATTTTTTTTTAAACTCACCTCAACACGGACATTAGCGGATGTTTCAATACCATGAAGACGGAATGTAGCGTAGGCGTGATCATGTGACCACTTCTCTTTAATCAGCTTCTTGATGCCAGCTAGGTCATAGCCGTTAAGAGTCAGATTATCGTATCTGAAACACAATGACGTATGTACGTTAGTAGAATATTATTTCAGTTGAGTTTGATTTGTCATTAACAATACTTAGTTGTTTTTTTTTAACCGTGTTTAAACTATATTGAACACTTGAAACCATTTGGAATATTAGAACGGACAACCTTGTATCTAAATTTGAAACAGTACTAGCTATAAATACGAAAAGGCACTAACTTGTAGCTGAAAGTGGAGAAGTCTGTGGCCTCTCTAGGTTTAGAGTTTTGTTTGGTAATGGCGAAAGGATTTGAGTCCCTGCTGAATGGCTCCATTGGCTCTTCAAACAGTTTGATGTCGCAAAGTTCGCATTTTCCTGTGCAGCCTGGGCCTGTGGCAAACATAATTAGTTCTTAATCGCTATCATTTGTTCACAACATAAACATACTTAATCATGCTTTCATTTGTTCACAAAATAAACATACTTAATCATGCTTTCATTTGTTCACAAAATAAACATACTTAATCATGCTTTCATTTGTTCACAAAATAAACATACTAATACATTTTTGTGTTGGATAATGACATTTTTAAAAGAGAATCTGAAATTAAACTTACTCCTTTAAAATTTCATCTTGTTAAATTGTTATCTCCGAATGAGGCATTTTAACATATTGTTTTAGTTTTTGTGATCTCATACACATTTTAAGTTTCTCAATCTTGTTTTTTTTGTTTACGTTGTTATAATTAAAACTATCCGAAATAATCCATAAAATGAATTTTGTACATTCGATTCAGTACATAGGCCACGCCATTTATTAGGCTATTGCCATTTATATATTTTTCAGATTTATAATGTCTCTATACCATGGACATTTACTTTTTATGTTATTTATTTTTAAAAAAGGTAAAAACTTTAACAGTCTTCGGAGAATCTTTCGAGTTAGTGTTTTATTTTAAAATTGTAAGTTCGTCCAAAAATATACAAATCAAAATGATCAATAAGAAAGAAATAGGCATATACATTTAAACTCTTTATTTATGATTCTGAGAAACATTATTGGTGCTGAATAACAAATGTGTGACCTGCTTATTTCTTGATGAAGTTATATTAATTACACTAAAACATATTTTTTTCAAAATAATGTACTAGTCATTTATTGGATACTAACCATTGGTACTCATTACACTTGAATTATAGGCCCATATATTTTAATGTTATACTTGTTAGAGAAAAATATTTTATAAAATCGTTATCGGTCAAAACGAAATGTGCTTGAATGACAATTCAATGAACAACGCTAAATAGACGAAAAGCCGACATATTTGAAATAACATAAACTCCCAATAACTATTAGAAAAATCAATTTATATACATTATTAGTCAACACACCATCATATTAAATGCACACACTATTTAAGAGACTTAATGGTTCCGTTAAAAATCCGACTGTTCAATGGTATTTACTTTTGGACAAGAAAATTTTAGACATTTCATGTCTTTATAAGTAGATTTATTGATCTAAATCAAAGTCGAATGAAATTGTTAAATTCTTCATATTTTAAAATTGTTGGGTGACGTCATTAGTTTTGTTACTCTCCGTAGTTTGAACATCTTGCATTTGACGTCATATCGTTTTTTTGTTGTTGTTGTTTTTTTTTGCGTTCTTTTCACTTTTCCGCTTGGATAATTAAAAAAAATTTCTACATTCGAACACGCCTTTATTTTTATTTTCCTTCTTTAAATAAAACTTTGTTTATACATTTAAAACATCCATCATATTATTTTCAACAAAAGTGTGTATCTTTATGTTCTCCATATATCGCCGAACTTACTGATCGCACAGCCCCAAAAATGTTGCGGACAAAAAGAGAGAGAGAGAGAGAGAGAGAGAGAGAAAGAGAGAAAGAGAGAGAGAAGTGCGCACATGGGCTTTTATATTATAGGATTTCTAAAAGAAAAAAAAAACTTGAATTTTTTTACCTGGAGTATAACCCCTCTCTTTTTGCAATGCCTCGTAGATGGCGTAGATTTTATCTACGTTAGAGTGGTGTAGGAAAAAGATGGGATCATATGAAGTGTACTCGAGGTGGGACATGGAGTATTTGTTACGGCCTCCCACTAGGTAGTGAATGGTGTTGTGAGCCACCTCAAACTGGACCTCAAACTGGCAGTAGTTGGGGTATTGGAGGGCGTCTATCACGTGCTCAAAGAGATCGGTGTGCTCACCAGCATCAACCTGTGAATAAACAGTTTCATGTATGTCTGTAACTAATTAATTCTATAAAAGACGCTTTGAACGATAAACAATATTATTTTAAGCCTTGATATAATTAAAGTAAAACAGCGACCTTCTGAAAAAGTCTGTCATCAACAGCTCTGGCGGTGTGTTTAACAACGCCATCAACTGTGATATCTCCTTGGTACCAGACATTCTTCTTGGCTTTGCCGCCATCACTGTCAATGAACACTTGCTGACTGACGAGGTCAGGGAGAGCGCTCAATGGTTTAGTCCAGTCCCAATATGGAATACCAATACTGAGACCTGGTGGATTGAAATTGGAATTTCTTTACTTACATTATATTTAACATTTGAAAATCTATTTCATTTTGCGGAAATAATTTTTTTACATTGTAAATGTATCTTATTAAGATATATTCAATTTTTTTCTAACTTGAATTTAAGTAGGCCTACTTTTTATTTCTGCAAGATATAAGCTCAAATCTGTTACAGCTTACAAATTTAAAAAATTACAAACCAGCGAATATTTTTTCTAATGTATAACTTACAAAAAACTCTAATACTTAGCTAATAAAACTGTATCTCTGTGTGGTTGTAAAGGGACTGAATTATGAATGAGTTCTGAGAAAGTCAGGTTACCTTTCTCTTTGAGCGCTTGCTCCATCTGCACCACGTAGAGTCTGTGCCATTGTGGGAACACAGCCATACCGTGGATGCAGCAAGCCACATCTTTGTCGCCGTGTTTACACTGAGTTGGGTAACCGTGATATGCAGCTATCGCAGCATAGCCTTTATCAGAAGTGTCGTCAGCAACTGCTCTCAGAGATTTCTGGAGGTTTAGGATGTCTTCACTGCTCAGACTGTCAACATTTTTTCTCACAAGGACGGCTTCACTAAAGCTCAGCTGAAAATATTGAAAACACTAAAATATATCTTCAAAACTTTTCATCTATTGTTAGCAGCACAAGGATGGGTTCACTAAAGCTCAGCTGAAAATATTGAAAACACTAAAATATATCTTCAAAACTTTTCATCTATTGTTAGCAGCACAAGGACGGCTTCTCTAAAGCTCAGCTGAAAATATTATTAAAATATTAAACGATTTCACTCGTTCCATGGAGTAAGTGAAGTAGAGTTCAACTATTTTTGCTAGCTCGCCATATGAGGGCTAGTGTGTGTACACTATACACTGCCGCCTTCACTTTCCCTAACGAAAAATCGTAGGACTCAGTACGTCGAACTCAAGAATATTGGAGTAGCAGTCTAGCGCTCTACTACTAGGTACATACAACATGAAGTAACTAAAAATGTGTACATACAACATGAAGTAACACAAAATGTGTACATACAACATGAAGTAGCAAATAGCTTGTACATACAACATGAAATAGCACATAGCTCTCATACAACATGAAGTAACACAACATTTGTACATACAACATGAAGTAGCACATAGCTTGTACATACAACATGAAGTAGCACATAGCTCTCATACAACATGAAGTAGCACATAGTTTGTGCATACAACATGTAGTATCACAAAGCTTGAACATACAACATGAAATAGCACATAGCTTTTACATACAACATGAAACAGCACAAAGGTTGTACATACAACATGAAACAGCACAAAGGTTGTACATACAACATGAAACAGCACATAGCTTTTACATACAACATGAAACAGCACAAAGGTTGTACATACAACATGAAATAGCTAATATTATTTACATACAACATGAAGTAGCACATAGTTTGTAAATAAGACATGAAGTAGCACAAAGTTTGTACATACAACATAAAGCAGCACAAAGATTGTACATACAACATGAAGTAGTACATAGTTTGTACATAAGGCATGAAGTAGCACAAAGTTTGTACATACAACATAAATCAGCACAAAGTTCGTACATACAACATGAAGTATCACATAGTTTGTACATACAACATGAAGTAGCACATAGTTTGTACATACAACATAAATCAGCACAAAGTTTGTACATACAACATGAAGTAGCACAAAGTTTGTACATACAACATGAAGTAGCACATAGTTTATACATACAACATAAATCAGCACAAAGATTGTACATACAACATGAAGCAGCACAAAGTTTGTACATCCAACATGGAATAGCTAATATTATTTACATACAACATGAAGTAGCACATAGTTTGTAAATAAGACATGAAGTAGCACAAAGTTTGTACATACAACATAAATCAGCACAAAGTTTGTACATACAACATGAAGTATCACATAGTTTGTACATACAACATGAAGTAGCACATAGGTTTTACATACAACATAAATCAGCACAAAGTTTGTACATACAACATGAAGCAGCACAAAGATTGTACATACAACATAAAGCAGCACGAAGCTTGTACATACAACATAAATCAGCACAAAGATTGTACATACAACATGAAGCAGCACAAAGTTTGTACATACAACATAAATCAGCACAAAGTTTGTACATACAACATGAAGTAGCACAAAGTTTGTACATACAACATAAAGCAGCACAAAGATTGTACATACAACATGAAGTAGTACATAGTTTGTACATAAGACATGAAGTAGCACAAAGTTTGTACATACAACATAAATCAGCACAAAGTTCGTACATACAACATGAAGTATCACATAGTTTGTACATACAACATGAAGTAGCACATAGTTTGTACATACAACATAAATCAGCACAAAGTTTGTACATACAACATGAAGTAGCACAAAGTTTGTACATACAACATGAAGTAGCACATAGTTTATACATACAACATAAATCAGCACAAAGATTGTACATACAACATGAAGCAGCACAAAGGTTGTACATACAACATGAAGTAGCACATAGTTTGTACATACAACATAAATCAGCACAAAGATTGTACATACAACATGAAGCAGCACAAAGGTTGTACATACAACATGGAATAGCTAATATTATTTACATACAACATGAAGTAGCACATAGTTTGTAAATAAGACATGAAGTAGCACAAAGTTTGTACATACAACATAAATCAGCACAAAGTTCGTACATACAACATGAAGTATCACATAGTTTGTACATACAACATGAAGTAGCACATAGGTTTTACATACAACATAAATCAGCACAAAGTTTGTACATACAACATGAAGCAGCACAAAGATTGTACATACAACATAAAGCAGCACGAAGCTTGTACATACAACATAAATCAGCACAAAGATTGTACATACAACATGAAGCAGCACAAAGTTTGTACATACAACATAAATCAGCACAAAGTTTGTACATACAACATGAAGTAGCACAAAGCTTGTACATAAAACATGAAGCAGCACATAGCAGTACTCACCACGTAAAGTGCGAGAGCCAGTAAAGGCAAGAGGCGAGCCATGGGTGTGGTCTGTGTATTACAACAGTCCAACAAGTGGCGTAATGTACCAGCGATTCTCCTGCCTTTTATACTAGTTGGGATGCTATGACTGAAATGGATCATCCCAAAACACTCAGTTCTTGGGGTAGTCAGGTTGTCTAGCTATGAATTTTACAATTGCATTTTCATTTGAATAAGCAGTTGGTCTCAATTGGTGCTTGTAGCAATTTTAAAAGAAAAGTGATTTTTGTATTTATTTTGATAATTTAAAATCTTTTATTAACAAGAAATATTTGATAACACACCTGCCACCCCTGTCTTATAATGGTCTTTTTAACATCGTTTTTGTCAAGGTTGCATTTTTCGTGACATTCTAGACACCCACTAAAGATTAGAACATTTAGGTCATGTCTTCTAGAACCTTCAAAATATCTTGTTTTCTTTGTTATTCTATTACATGGTTCTACTGAATCTCAAACGTTACAAGTGCAGCTATGTAACAGTTAATTTTCTACTCGAAATACTTGAAGTCATTTGAAAAAAAAAATTGAAAGTACTTTTTAATAGTTTCCATTTTATTGCAAAAACTATAAAAAAATTATAATAGCTCTCAAATCATCAAAGATCACATATTTCTTTATTATCAGTGTCAAATCATATTAGATCACATATTTCTTTATTAGAAGTTTTAAAATAATGTAAAAAGATCACATCTCTCTTTGATCAGCAGTGTCAGATTATATGAGAAGATCACTCACATTTTGTGACGGTGTGTGATGAGGGGGAGGGGGGGTTCAGATTGTGTGACGTCACTTTTTTGCATTATGAAAAAGCAATGTTAGAAAACGAGTTTTAGCTGTTATTTCGCATTTTAGAAAACGGTTTTAATAAACTGTAATAGGAATTCATCAAAATACTCTGTTTGGACAGAGTTCTGACAAGATTTTGGAAAAATATCGATTTTTTTTAGAAATATTCAACAGCAGTTTTGAGGGGGGGGGGGGAGGGGGTTGTAGGCTGAGGTGTGACGTCATTTTAAGGGGGTCTGGCTTTTTGTGACGACGTGTGACGGAGGGGGGGAGAGGTAAAAATCGTCAAAAAAAGGGTGACGTCATTTATGGATGACCCTTTCGTCTCATTTAAAAAAATTAAAACTGGGAGCCATCGATTATACACTTTCATATTTTTGTATTGAATATAAGCCGCTGAAAGGCAGTTTAGAAATTTTTTTATAAATTCGAATATTTTAAAAAACCACCCTCAACTTCTACTTGAAGTCAACTTGAAGTTATATGATGTAACATCCTCTATCACAACAACATCCTTACTCCACTAATCTAAATTAAAAATAAAAGTGTTCGCTAAATTACTTTTATATTATTATTAATTATTTGTTTGAATATTTCTAGCCTTAATTAAACCGTAAGTCATTTGTACTTAATTCTCAAATGTTATCAAATTTCAATTTTGGTTGAAAAATATGCTTTCTGGCAGCAGCTATTTGAAACCATTTGGAACCAGCTTTTATTATTATTCAATTATTTATTTTAACATTTATTTTTAAACCTACTGTAATTGGGGGAACAAATATGAAGGGCATGTTACAGATGTTACACACAATGATCGATAAGTATGTCTTTTACAATATACATCTAGCATTCAATCCCCACCGAGGGAAATCAGTGCTCCTTTAAGAGGAATATACAGGGCTTTGGATAGTTTCAGCTGGTGTAACTATTCTTTATTAAATGATGAACAAAAAATATCAACGAAGTCTGTAGAAGATCATTGCTTTATTTTGCAACTAAAATACAGCCAAAGAGGTGGATACTTTGCCTGTTTCTTTGTCTAATTGTCTGATTGTATGCCTGATTGTTTGTCAGCTTGTTTACAACAATATTATTATTCTCGCTTTTGCTTAGCTGCCAATTTTTAAGGTCAAAACAAGACAATGGCGCTTCGTGTTACAGGCTAAAACTCAGTGAATGGTGCAGCTAAAATAGTACATTGATAACTTGTGTTATCAGCCGGTTCATGTCTTGCCCCATCACGTTGGTAACCCACACCGAGGTCAGCGACTATTGTCCATTCACCTCTTTCTTATCTCGTGCGGCTCACATTACAGTCACGAGCTCAGGGTCAGCACGTTGTTTCACTTCAACTTGTCATTTGTTTATCGTCCAGCTCCAAATAAGAAGACGTGATATATATATATATATATATATATATATATATATATATATATATATATATATATATATATATATATATATATATATATATATATATATATATATATATATATATATATATATATAAATGTATGTATGTGTATATATACAAATGTGCAAATATTTATATGTGTGTGCGTATGCATAAAGTCTACTTCCCCTGCCCGTTGATTTCTTTGGTAGAAATGATAATTCTCTAACGTCTCTGTTCAGTTCCATTAAGCTGAGATGATGCCTCTTTTTAACAAAACTGTAAGAATCTGAATTGATATAGTTCAAATGCGAATTGATCGAAATAAATTCTTAATTAAAAATATTATAGGTCATAAAAGATAATGACTGAACATAGACACATAGATCAAGAAAAACTTTAGCAAGTCAACAACAACTTTAATAAAAGTCAGTAACTTTTAGTCAATGTCAACATAGGCTAATATATCGATAGAAACTATCAGACAATGATTAAAAAAAACATTACTATGTATCATTTTCTACTTTATAAACGTAATTTAGAAACTAAGTCGTGTGTTAATCGTTAATGTCATTAGCTTACATTATCCGTGATAAAAACATTTTGTCAAATAACAATGAGACGATAGTAGATGATAACTGTATTATGGCAAGTGATTATTACATAATGTTCAATAACAACAAATCGCTTAACTGGTATAGCGTTTCTTAAGTCATTTATCATTAGTTTCAGTTTAAGTTTAATTAATTAAAGATGGATTAAAAATCCCCCGTAGTGTTATATAAGAATATTCGAGAAAGTTTAGGAAGATCACTCCCGGTTTATTGATTACTTAAACTTTTAAAAATAGAATAGAATTTCGTAGGAAAAAAAGAATTGTGAACCAAGTGAATGATGAACAATATGTGTGTAATAGTGCGGACTATTATTAGTACTTAATAAATTCATATGCGTTTTTTGAGAAATCGGAAATAGCGAAAATTACTACTTCTGATCAACGGAAATTACTCAAAATTTTGAAGAAGGTAGAGAATTAGATCTTTTACATATACGTGATATTTCGTTTATCTATTTGAAACAGTACTAAAGTTATAGGCTTTTGAAAAACTAAAAGTAGAATAAGTCCCATTTCCGGTTTACGGAATTCGCTGGAAATTTAATACAGAACTACAAATTTTATATTTACTTAAATATGTAATTTCATCAACCTAGCTGTAACGGCACTCAAGTTATCTTGTTTACAGACACACATACTCACACACACACACACACACACAAACGCCGAAATTTCGATAAATTTGGATTTAGAATTTTTGCCCAATTAAAATAAGACCTCTTTACTCCGTAGCCTATATGATGAAGTACTGTGTGATTTTTGTGCACGATTACAATACTTTATACTCTGTATACGAGAAAGTAAAATACATTCAAACAAGAGAATGGTGAACAATTGACTAACATGCGAAACTCCACGGATATATAAATAAATAAATAAATATTATATAAATAAATATATATATATATATATATATATATATATATATATATATATATATATATATATATATATATATATATATAGTTAAGAGTTTGTGCATTTTATATTTTAATTTGATATTTTTATGGATATTGTGTGTTGGTCTTTCAGACATGAAAAACAGCTCCATAGATCAGATAAAACTAGGATGCCGCAAACAAAACACAGACATGAAATAGTTATGACACGCCCTATATTGCGTGATGCGGTTGTCACATTTTCAAGCGAAATTTTTTTCTGTATTCTCGCAGACAGATTAGCTTTCAAAACTGTTAGTTCCTCGATTATGTCTTGAGTTATATTTTCGTTTAGTTTTTCAGTTAAAGATATAGAATTGATTATCCGTCTGGAATTGCAGGAACATAGGCATTGTGGTTTTGATGTATCAGATGGAGTAGTTGAATTTGGTATCGGTGTTACTGGTGATGTTGGTACTGTTGACACGGTTGTTGATGTAAGTTCTGTTGATGATGATGATGTTGATGTTGTTGATGAAGATGATGATGATGTTGATGTTGATGTTGATGTTGTTGTTGATGTTGATGTTAATGATAATGATGATAATGTCTGTGCAATATGTGTTGTTAATGCTGTATATGTTTGTGTTGGTAATGTTGATTGTGTTGATGTTGGTATCGATGGTGATGACGTTGACGCAAATTGCGTAGTTGGTGCTGTTGATGTTGTTAATGTTGTTGTTAGCACGGTTGACGAGGATGATTCTGGTGCTGTTGTCTGAATAGTATATGATGTTGTGGGGCTCGATGCATTAGATCCATCCGATGTTTTAAAAATAGTTGAGGGTTGTGTAGTTTCATCAAACCCCTGGTAAGTCAGTATGAGAGTGTGTTCAAGTGTTGGTGAGACGACGCGGTACTCTGTTGGGCTGGGAGTTACACTCATTGCTGTATTTGACGTTGTCTGACTCACAGATAGAGACAGGTCTTGACTGGCAGGTGTAGGCGTTAGCAGGGCTTGACTGTTGTCAGTTGACAGCTGCTCAATGGCAGGTGTCGATGTTGACAGGTCCTGAATGGCAGGTGTTGATGTTGACAGGTCCTGAATGGCAGGTGTTGATGTTGACAGGTCCTGAATGGCAGGTGTTGATGTTGGCAGGTCCTGAATGGCAGGTGTTGATGTTGGCAGGTCCTGAATGGCAGGTGTTGATGTTGACAGGTCCTGAATGGCAGGTGTTGATGTTGACAGGTCCTGAATGGCAGGTGTTGATGTTGGCAGGTCCTGAATGGCAGGTGTTGATGTTGGCAGGTCCTGAATGGCAGGTGTTGATGTTGACAGGTCCTGAATGGCAGGTGTTGATGTTGACAGGTCCTGAATGGCAGGTGTTGATGTTGACAGGTCCTGAATGGCAGGTGTTGATGTTGACAGGTCCTGAATGGCAGGTGTTGATGTTGGCAGGTCCTGAATGGCAGGTGTTGATGTTGACAGGTCCTGAATGGCAGGTGTTGATGTTGACAGGTCCTGAATGGCAGGTGTTGTGGTGGATGGCTGTAATAAATTCCCGGATGACTCCATAAGTGGACTTAAATACGTAGCGTGGGTGCTAATAATAGAGGCTTCATCAGTGTAGTCCAACTGACTTCGAACTGTGCTGTCCAGAATTAATGTGGGTTCGTCCACTGCATATGTAAACGTTAAGGTGCTTCCAACGGAAAAGTAGCTTGACATATCAGACGTAACTGTTGTTGATAAGATGATATCGGTTGATGAAATAAATGATGTTGAAACATTTTCAACCTGGAGATGGAAATAAATTTTACGATTGAAATTAACCATATCATAAGTTTGATAACTGAGGGTTTCAGGGGTCATCCATAAATAACATCACTTTTGTTTGACGATATTTTATTCTCTCCCCTCTCCTTCCAACTGTCACACATCCTCACAAAAAGCCAGACTCCACATTTAAAAAGACGTAACACCTCAGACAACATGCTTTTGCCTTTTAAAATATCGATTTAGGCTGAACCTGGGTCTGACCCCACTATCTCTTCGTATGCTGAACTCTACTTCTCCTGCCCCGTGTCCCGTTAAGTCCCGATAAGAAACTTTATAATTCACATCTAAAAAGAAGTGAAACCTCAACTTGCATGTTTATCTTTTTAAAACATCGATTTCTTGCAACAATATTTTCTGAGCTCGAACCTCATTTGAATAATAAATGAATAAATTATTAAAACTAACTTTAAACTAATAATAATGAATAAGATAGAACCAATCGCGTGTATTGCTATTTCCCACGGGATCCAGACAAAAGGCCAACATGGACACAAGGCCGACACGGACAAAAGGCCGACATGGACAAAAGGCTGACAGCCAAAAGGCCGACATCCAAAAGGCCGACAAGACAAAAGGCCGACATGTTTTATAAATAACAAACTACAATTATAGGCATGTTTAACAATTAAAATATGTAATTATATACGCCTTTTTAAGTTTCTAATAAATATTCTTAGGTACATACAATAGGATAAAATACAACACACGATGTAACCAATTATTTGTTGCCGATATATTGGTCCATATATAGGGAAATCAAAGGGATAAGTTTACACAAAAAACAAAAATAACGTACCAATTTCGGCACACTTATATCACAATCACAACAGAATTAATGAATCCAACGAATATAGTATACAACTTTTTTTACGCAATTCGCAATGGACGAAACTAAAGTATAATTCAAATTTTGTCTGTATTTAACATGCAGTCTAGTCAAGGCACGCGATTTTTTTAAAAAACAATTAAAACGAAACAAAATTTAACATTGACTTTGTGTGTCTCGAACCCGTACCATCCGCATTACACTATCATCTCTGCCATATGGGCAAATACGATTGGGAGAAAATTTTATTGGGTTGTATTTTACTTAGAGCCAGAGTATAATAGAGCTTAATTACGCGAATATTATTTTAAACTAAATTATATCGTAATTTTGCATATTCCACTGTTAAACAAACAAAGATTTAAATGAAATAATTAAGGTCTGAAGTAGTTTTGTATAGAAACTCATTTTAGCCTAGGTTTTAGATCTAGCTCTATCTCGAGCTAGATCAACAATCTACGGCTACGGAAAAATGGCTAAAGTCTAGTTTATCCGGAGCTCTTGGTAAATTCCTTGCATTCTCTATATCAATGAAATATATTCAAGGATTAAAATAGTTTAATATAGAAACTCAAATATTTATTGTTTTTTATCCTTGTTTTTTTTATTTCTAAATAATTAATTTTGGTATGGCCTATCAGTAGATCTAGATAAATTTATTGTATACTCATATTAGAAGAATGCCAAAGGTATCCTATTAAAATAGTGTTGGAGCCTAATAAAAATAGCAAACAGATGTTATTGTTAAAGCTATAACTGAAATAAAATGTTGCTTTATAATGCGTTAAACCTTTGAATAGGCAACAAGGTCTTGATGGAAGCCGCCATGTTTGTTGCGAAAATAGGTAAATAAATCAAGTGACGTTACTAAAAACAAAGTACTTGTTCTGAATTTTTTTAATAAAAAGGGTGTTTCTACCAATGAATATATCAAGTAATTAATTATCGTCTTAAAATAAATTTTTGAATAACATTTGGGGGGGGGGGAACATTATTCTCTACATAAATATGTATTTTGTTGTTCTTCACATAGTGCAGATGCTCTCACGTAATGGAACAAAAAAAATAAAAAATAAAATAACGTAATTTGTTTTTGCTTTTAGTAGTAAAATTAAATAATTTCAAATGTTTTTGTCTTACCGTATACATAAATCCCAATGGCATCGCGCAACCTTTTTTAGTTGCATGGCCTGAGAGAAAGCCGCCAAACAAACATCCTTTATTTTCAATGGTGTTGCGAACAGAGGACGAGATTGAAAAGTTCTGTGACTTATACATTAGATTACTTTCATAGCTCCATGTCGCTGCACCTGACACTATGCCATTTACCTAAATCACATATCAAACAAACGAATGACATATATTTTATCGCTACTTCAAAATGTATTGTGCTAATTGAACGTAAAGCATCACCTAGTAGAAGCGTTATAAGTTAGGGCGTCAACCGGTCATAGAGGGTAACACACCACCCCACCCCCGTCCAATAAAGTAGCATTTTCCGTTTGGTGGCACTCCTTTACTTCCACTATATTATTTTAAATTGACAATAAGAAACATGCTATTGACTGAAAATTCTACAATTTTCGATGCGGTGTGACCCCCTGATTAAATTTAAACGACTAACAAAATACTTTCTACATTAAAGAATGATATTCGAAAGTCAAAGAGTGACCTTGGCTGTTTAAAGGACTACTACTTTGGCAGACCACAACGTCGGGGTCTGAGACAAGCTGTTTCCACTTGATATGTGGAACATGCACACACGTGTAGAAGACCATATGCCAAAAACAAACAACTTAGTTGAAGGATGGCACAGAAGTTTTGATGTCAACACCCAAAGTTTTGGAAATTGACTTTATTAAAAAGGAACAATTGTCCCACGAGGTTTATTGTAAACAGATAAATTCAGGACAGTTTACCAACAAAGAAAAAAAAACATATATATATAGCCTACATTGATAGCAGCGCTCAAATTTCAACTGTTATTAAAAGTTTTAATGAGCCCACCGTAATTAAGAATTTGTGAGGCATCGCGTTTTTTTTCTTATGTTCGTTTTTTTTTAAATTATTAATTTTGGTTCTCATCATCTTTGGTTTTTCCTTATATAAACCACGATTGGGTTTTTTTTGTCCAGGGAGCTTATGTCGTTGGGTTTTTAGTCCAGGGGTTAATGTCGCGGGGGGGTATATGTCCTGGGGGATGTGTCGGGGGGGGGGTTATGTCCAGGTTTTCTTTTGACCGGACATACAAGGTGACCGCAACCCTGCCTCTTCCACCTCTGTCGTCTGCAGTATCTACTCAAATCTACCGAAAACTGTCGCGTCAAGTGAAGCAGCTAGCCGTAGTATTGACTTAAATGACAAATGTTTAATCTTATAAAGTAAGAATAAAAAGCTAATTGTGACATCTATTAAAATAGCAATTGAGCAACAAGCGGTGAAAACCTAACCAAGAAACTTGAGCTACAGTTATAAGACGTGACGACGGTCAGCATATAATTTTCATCTTTGGTCGTCACACCGGCCACAATGTACTTGCTTGACCACGACTTCAGTGGGTGTATCAAAACCAAGGCCGAATCAAAGACCGTCGGACCTGTACGGAAACATAAAGATCATCACGTTAGCCTATATCCCACTCATTCAATAAAGATCATCACGTTAGCCTAGATCCCGCTCATTCAATAAAGATCGTCACGTTAGCCTATATCCCACTCACTCAATAAAGATCATCACGTTAGCCTATATCCCACTCACTCAATAAAGATCATCACGTTAGCCTAGATCCAGCTCACTCAATAAAGATCATCACGTTAGTCTAGATCCCGCTCATTCTATAAAGATCATCACGTTAGCCTAAATCCCGCTCATTCAATAAAGATCATCACGTTAGCCTATATCCAACTCACTCAATAAAGATCATCACGTTAGCCTAGATCCAACTCACTCAATAAAGATCATCACGTTAGCCTAGATCCCGCTCATTCAATAAAGATCATCACGTTAGCCTATATCCAACTCACTCAATAAAGATCATCACGTTAGCCTAGATCCAACTCACTCAATAAAGATCATCACGTTAGCCTATATCCCACTCAATCAATAAAGATCATCACGTTAGCCTATATCCCACTCACTCAATAAAGATCATCACGTTAGCCTAGATACCACTCACTCAATAAAGATCATCGCGTTAGCCTAGTTCCCGCTCATTCAATAAAGATCATCACGTTAGCCTATATCCAACTCACTCAATAAAGATCATCACGTTAGCCTAGATCCCGCTCATTCAATAAAGATCATCACGTTAGCCTAAATCCCGCTCATTCAATAAAGATCATCACGTTAGCCTAGATCCCACTCAATCAATAGAGATCATCACGTTAGCCTATATCCCACTCAATCAATAAAGATCATCACGTTAGTCTATATCCCACTCAATCAATAAAGATCATCACGCTAGCCTATATCCAACTCACTCAATAAAGATCATCACGTTAGCCTAGATCCCACTCACTCAATAAAGATCATCACGTTAGCCTAGATCCCGCTCATTCAATAAAGATCATCACGTTAGCCTATATCCCACTCAATCAATAAATTCATCACGTTAGCCTATATCCCACTCAATCAATAAAGATCATCACGTTAGCCTATATCCAACTCACTCAATAAAGATCATCACGTTAGCCTAGATCCCACTCACTCAATAAAGATCATCACGTTAGCCTAGATCCCGCTCATTCAATAAAGATCATCACGTTAGCCTATATCCAACTCACTCAATAAAGATCATCACGTTAGCCTATATCCCACTCAATCAATAAAGATCATCACGTTAGCCTATATCCCACTCACTCAATAAAGATCATCACGTTAGCCTATATCCCACTCATTCAATAAAGATCATCACGTTAGCCTATATCCCACTCAATCAATAAAGATCATCACGTTAGCCTATATCCAACTCACTCAATAAAGATCATCACGTTAGCCTAGATCCCACTCACTCAATAAAGATCATCACGTTAGCCTAGATCCCGCTCATTCAATAAAGATCATCACGTTAGCCTATATCCCACTCAATCAATAAAGATCATCACGTTAGCCTATATCCCACTCAATCAATAAACTCATCACGTTAGCCTATATCCAACTCACTCAATAAAATCATCACGTTAGCCTATATCCCACTCAATCAATAAAGATCATCACGTTAGCCTATATCTAACTCAATCAATAAAGATCATCACGTTAGCCTATATCTAACTCAATCAATAAAGATCATCACGTTATCCTAAATCCCACTCAATCAAACGTGTTACTCTTAGTCACACCACGACATCTAACTCAAACATCACAGCAAACATGTTAGCCTTAATCAGTCTTACATCCAACATGTTAGCCTTAATTAGTCTTACATCCAACATGTTAGCCTTAATCAGTCTTACATCCAACATGTTAGCCTTACTCAGTCTTACATCCAACATGTTAGCCTTAATCAGTCTTACATCCAACATGTTCGCCTCCATCCCATCTCATTACTTCAAATGTTTTCATCAATCTAATCCATATGCACCCTAAATATCTACACAACCAACATGTAAACGTAAGCATCAATCCCCCTGACATTAAACCTGTTAATCTGAGTCCCCTAACGTTTAACTTATCAGCCCCCTAAGGTGAGTTAGATTAAAGATTTATTTGACGATCACTAGCATGTGAGTACCTGAGAAGCTACCGTAAGCTACAAGCGTTATAAGAACTGGCCAGCTGGAAGTGACTGTAGAAGACTTGCCCACAGCAAGTGTGTACTCAGCGGAGCCGGCGTTTTGTTTGAGCAGCTTCATAACGGCGCTATTGAAGGCCAGGCTCGTGTTTTGATGAGAGAAAACAACTTTCACCAGGGAGAGCTCCGCTGAAAACAGAAAGCTCACCACAACAAAGCTGGTACCATAGGACTCTGATGGGGTCATCTGTTCTACAGCATGGTCCTGTTGAAAAATATACGTCAATATATATGTTGTACAGTATGATCCAGTTAACAGAAATATGTCAATATGTATGTTGTACAGCATGGTCTGTTGAAAGAAATATGTCAATATGTATGTTGTACAACATGGTCCTGTTGAAATATGTCAATATGTATGTTGTACAGTATGATCCTGTTGAAACAATTTTTCTTCGATACGTATGTTCTACGTATGTCCTGCTGAAAAAAATGTATCTGAAGGAAAGCCTCGCTCAAAGAACTTCCGTTAGCAGACTTGAACCGCTGCATTCAATTACAGCCTTCCATTTATACACCCGCGGGACATTTAATGGCTTTGTTCACTTCCATTCAGTCATTTAAAAAAAACACATCAAGGATTTGAATATGTGATCAGCTATAGACGTGTATTGATCCTTTGAGTTATTGAACCAAATCTCTGTTCACTTCTAATCAGTATTAATGCATCAGGTAGAAAAATATTGTAATTGTTTGGTCACAATATCAGGTAGACACATGATGTTGATGAATAGTCATGTTGAAATTAACATTTAATGACTAACATAATATATAATTTAGTAAAAAATAATATTTTTGAGCTATAATATTAATGAACATGTCTTTAAAGTTTAAAAGAAATCGCTGTATTAAGTAGAAAGACATTTTAGTTATATGATTTAAACTCAAACGCATACGCAAACAAACAAACGAATAAAAGAACATTGTGAACTCAGTAAAAGGTTTAAAACAGTCACTGTGTTCACCTAAAAAAACAAAACTGACTAATGTCTCACCTCCCTTAGGTAATTATATCATTGTGATCAATAGCATGCGTCTGTTTATACCTAATTGATTTGTGGCGACAAAAATGTAAGCTTATACTGTTGCTTTTCGTGGTCACTTTCAATTTATAGTTAAATTATAGTAATAATTGAACCGTAAAAAGTTTGCACGAACGAAATAATTGTTGGGATTAGGGCGGGTGCTACCAAAGTTTGCTCCAACAAAATAATTGACCTAATGTATTACAATCGATCGTCGTCATTTATGTCTAGCATTTGGTGCAGCTTGTTTGAACCACTCAATTAGTCAAAGACAGAACTCTTCAATCCGTACTACGGGTTTTTACAATTGTAAAGCCAAAGAACTCGCGTCCTTCTATCGAATTAATCTATTGACGTATGTATGTTGCCAGTATGGTACGGAGAGATCTAACTAGTCAGATAAATATAAATAGAACTCGCAAAGAAAGATTCAGTAGGACGTCGTGCGGTCTTCCCTGCGATGACGGGTACCCAACAAGACTTTTAGTTAACTAAACAACGTTCGGGTATCTATGTTACGTCTATAGGATAGTACCTAATGGCAATACTGTTTTTTTAGCGAGCTGATAATTGACTTCAGTTAATGTGCCATGTTAGTCTAATTAAAACTCACGATATAATGTGCCATGTCGGATTAATTAATAGTCCCATTAAGGCTTTTGATAACTTAAAAATCTCTTATGGGTTTCAAATATGAGCATATATCAGGAACAGAATCTTCTTGAACACACGTAGAAGAGCTGCAGGGAGGTAACTTACCTTGTTGGAACTGTTGACTGAAGTGAAGGATCCACCAGCTATAACGGCAACAACACCATCAGACTCTACAACACTGCCTGACAAATCGACTGTTGTACCTATTATCTGCATGCTGCTGAATTCTAAAAGTAGCAAGGAAACATGTTTTAAGTAAAATAGACAATATAGATCACACAAATGTGCAGTATTACTGACAACGTTCTGCAACATTGTTACATCCTCACAATAAATGTGCAGTATTACTGACAACGTTCTGCACCATTGTTATATCCTCACAATAAATGTGCAGTATTACTGACAACGTTCTGCACCATTGTTATATCCTCACAATAAATGTGCAGTATTACTGACACCGTTCTGCACCATTGTTATATCCTCACAATAAATGTGCAGTATTACTGACAACGTTCTGCACCATTGTTATATCCTCACAATAAATGTGCAGTATTACTGACAACGTTCTGCACCATTGTTATATCCTCACAACAAATGTGCAGTATTACTGACAACGTTCTGCACCATTGTTATATCCTCACAATAAATGTGCAGTATTACTGACAACGTTCTGCACCATTGTTACATCCTCACAATAAATATGCAGTATTACTGACAACGTTCTGCACCATTGTTATATCCTCACAATAAATGTGCAGTATTACTGACAACGTTCTGCACCATTGTTATATCCTAACAATAAATGTGCAGTATTACTGACAACGTTCTGCACCATTGTTACATCCTCACAATAAATGTGCAGTATTACTGACAACGTTCTGCACCATTGTTACATCCTCACAATAAATGTGCAGTATTACTGACAACGTTCTGCACCATTGTTACATCCTCAGTTCTAGAGCCACAACCGTTGTCGTATTTTTTCGTGTGTTTGTATTTGTCTTTGGTGTACGATTGTTTCCGTAGTTATGTTTTGAATAGGTCTGTCACACTGAAACATATTTGTATATGCATTTAAGAGATTTAGTTGCCATACAAAATATGATTCAGCCACATTGGGCTATTGATTTGTAGATCCGTTTAATTTTCAGAAAGCGAGTCTCACCTGTAATCGATCGTGTGATGACGTCACCGTGCTTGTATTGCTTGCTGCTGAAGGTGAGTTGTGCCGTATATGAGGTGTAGCTGACCATACACAGACTGACACTGACGTTGACAGCTTGATGAGCGCTGACAATGACGATAAAACAGTTGTTGTCTGGGCAGTAGGTGGTCACGTGATACCGTGTTGACAGCTGCATCAAGGGCAGAACCAGAAAGTAGCCGAGTGACGCGTAGAAGGTGCTACAAGATAATACAATAACTCATATAACACAACATATGGAGGTGTTATAAGATAATACAATAACTCATAACATATGCAGGTGTTACAAGATAATACAATAACTCTTAACATATGGAGGTGTTACAAGATAATACCATAACTCATAACATATACAAGGTGTTACAAGATAATACAATAACTCTTAACATATGGAGGTGTTACAAGATAATACCATAACTCATAACATATACAAGGTGTTACAAGATAATACAATAACTCAAAACATATGGAGGTGTTACAAGATAATACAATAACTCATAACATATGCAGGTGCTACAAGATCATACAATAACTCATAACATATGCAGGTGCTACAAGATCATACAATAACTCATAACATATGGAGGGGTTACAAGATAATACAATAACTCATAACATATACAAGGTGTTACAAGATAATACAATAACTCATAACATATACAAGGTGTTACAAGATCATACAATAACTCATAACATATGCAGGTGCTACAAGATCATACAATAACTCATAACATATGGAGGGGTTACAAGATAATACAATAACTCATAACATATACAAGGTGTTACAAGATAATACAATAACTCATAACATATACAAGGTGTTGCAAGATAATACAATAACTCATAACATATGGAGGTGTTACAAGATAATACCATAACTCATAACATATGGAGGTGCTACAAGATAATACAATAACTCATAACATATGGAGGTTCTACAAGATAATACAATAACTCATAACATATACAAGGTGTTACAAGATAATACAATAACTTATAACATATACAAGGTGTTACAAGATCATACAATAACTCATAACAGATACAAGGTGTTACAAGATAATACAATAACTCATAACATATACAAGGTGTTACAAGATAATACAATAACTTATAACATATACAAGGTGTTACAAGATAATACAATAACTTATAACAGATACAAGGTGCTACAAGATAATACAATAACTCATAACATATGGAGGTGTTACAAGATAATACAATAACTCATAACATATGGAGGTGTTACAAGATAATACAATAACTCATAACATATGCAGGTGTTACAAGATAATACAAACATAACTCACAACATATGCAGGTGTTACCAGATTAAATAAACATAATTTATAACATGCGGAGGTGTTACTCAGGTTTTGCATTGCAAATTAAGATGTACTTCACAGATTCGGTAACTTCTGATAATACATTGGCCATATGCAGAGGCGTAGCGAGGGCGGGGGTGCGGACCGCACCGGGTGACACCATTTAGGGGGGGGGGTGACACCATAGCAATAAATTGCAAAATGTACAGAAGAAAAATGCTTTTTTTGCCAGAACCATTAGTGATTAATTAAAGTTAAATAGTCTTTTAAATACAAATCGGCAAATATTACAAGAGGGTGGGAGTGACACCATGACGTAAAACAATGCTACATCCAACTGTATTATTAACAGACTATAGATAAACATCGTCACTATTACGTCTACAGTGATTAAAGTTTATACACATACATGTACTCGTATGTGGCATATATTTAAATTATAGACCTATGTAAGACGACACACACACACACACATTAGGAACTCTGACTTGCTGGTCAATAGGGCAGATGAAGTAAATCTCAT